ATAAAATGTCTGTACAATTTGTTTTTATTGAACTAACATTTTGTATCCGTGTGAATCGTTAAAATGCTAGTATATCTTTTTGGAGTACAATTTGAGGTACATCCGTACATTTCTTGGTATACCCCTAGCATTATTGTATTTTTTTGGATCTAATATGAATAGTAAAAATGGAATATTTTTACCATAATTGTTATTCTATGCTAATTAGAATTCTATATGTATTCTTTAAAACCTTTATATATGTGTATATTATTATTATTATTATATATTGATGTAATATTTATTATTTTTTGAGAATAATAATTTTTATTATTTAATAGGATTAATTGTTATCATATTGTATGAGCATCATCCACATATTTCTCCTCTATTCTACCCCAATTTAATCTCCTCTTCTCACGTTCTTCTTATTTTTCTATTTTTTCATATATCATCACATATACTTTTCTTCTATTTCTTCTCATTTATTTACAAAAATAGAATTTGTTTGATTATTTTCTCCTCAACTTATTTTTTCATTTATTACTTGTTCTTAATGAAATTAGATTAGATCAAAAATAATTTTAAATATAACTACATTCAGATTAGACCAGATTAGATCAGATCAGATCATAATTTATTACAATTAGATCAAAATTAATCAGATCAAGTGAAGAGAACATGACCTTAATCTCTATTTTTTCTACTCCTATTATTGTTCATTACATTTCTCAGGAAGTTTTATTCGAAACCATTTTTTCTCTACAAATTTGTTTGCTTTATAATTTCACTACACTTTTTTAGAACAAAGTCATCTTCTTTTTCCACCCAATCGTTCCAAAATTTTTATTTAAAAATTTCTTTGATTTTATATTCCATTAAAAATAACCATTGTTTGACTTGTTTCCAAACTAATGAGATTTGGGAAATTGGTGGTGACATATAACAAAGAATATATTCGGTAACAATTTATTGGGCAATTTTTATTTCCTATTCTCCTGACATTTCATTTCATGTTTTAGAATACATTTTTTTTTATTTCAGAATTGTCTTATATATACTCCGTGTGTGTCTATATACATACATACACACACACATATATACATATACATATATATATATATATATATATATATATATATATATATATATATATATATATATTGAATCAATTTTATTACTCTCACCTTCTCAAGTTAAATTGTTTATTATTTATATTATCAAACTTTAATCATGTTTTTACTCATTTTTCCCACCTCTTGTTTTGTTAAGTTTTTTTATTTAATTTTTAAATAGAAAATGTTTTTTTTATAATTCTATAAAAATTTTAATAAATTGAATAAAAAATAATTTCAATTAACTTTGTAAAATATTGATTGAGAAAAGTATTTTGTCTTAATTTAAATGTCTTGTTTACTATTTGAGAAAATAATTTCATATATTATTTATATATAGAACTTTTGATATAATTTTTAATTTACATATATAATCATTATTTTTTTAATTTTACATCAATTTATAAATAAAAATAAGTTTAATAAAATATTGTAATCCAAATAAATAATTTAAATTAGTAAGTACTCCATAATTGGTGGAATAGGAAGGATTAGATAAATGGTACTGACCTAACCGGATGAGCCCATCTACCCGGCTACCAATTATCCCCATTCCCAATTCTCTGCCGTCTGCACCGCTTCTCATCTTTTCTCCATAGCGTCGATCTAAAAGCTCTATTCTGTGATATCGGATGGGATGTAGAGATGGTGGTCGTCTCCGATGTTCATGCCGTTTCTCTCAGGTAATCCTTTCTCTCGAATCTGCGAGGATTTAACATAGAAAATCTTTTAATTTTCTAGTCGATTTTTGAAAACAATCAATCCATACATCATTTGAACTATTTTCTCATGTGAATCGAAGTTTTTAACTTTGGGCTAAAATATAAGATTTAGTCTTAAAATGCTCAGATCTTAAAAAAAATAGACATCAAAATATAACGCTTGAATCTGAATCTTAAAATAATTAGACATCTAAATATAACGCTCAGATCTTATGATTTAATAGCATTTTCTTTGAGGTCTTTAAAACACGTATATTGTTTGGAAGGTATTTTTGTTTTAATGGATTGCATTTGCTTGTGTTTTAGTTTTTTTATTCTATTTTGAAATTTCATTTTCAATCTACTGAGGTATTTTTACATGCAAAGCACAATTTTTCCCTAAAAATGTTTCAATTATAAAAGTGGTGTAGATTTGTTTGAGAATGGAAATTAAATTAGCAGATCAAATATAAATAATCTTCACACTAAAGGTAATTGACTCTTGGTTTCAATTCATGAAACTCTTGTCTTCATTTTTTGTATGTATGTATAATCTTCACACTAAAGGTAATTTCTTTGTTCCTTTTTGCCTGTCTTTGTTCATTTTTTTCATCCTTTTTGTATGTATTTTTTTCCAAACGGAATGGGAATGAACCAACATGAAAGATATCATGACCATCAATTCGATCTTTTTCTATTTTAGCAATCCCGTAAGTCAAGTTTCATCCTTGTAAGCTTAGACATTGTGATTCAACCTCTTGTGTTTTTCTTTTTTGTTATGATTTTGTTTTCTCAAGCACTTTCTCAAATCTAAACCCTTTCTCAAACCATTAAAGCATTAAACCATCTCTGAAACTTATATTGCAAAAAAATTGTATATATTTGAAAACTTGAAATCATTTTCTTTAAATTCTAAGAGAAGTTTTTTAATTTGCGAAAGGAGTCTTAGAATCATACTCTTTCAAAAATTAAAATCATGTTTTTAAAACTTTAAAAGCAGACTTTTCAACAACAAAAGAAGCAGTATTTGAAACATCTAAATCCAAAAACTTACTGTGTATCTCTTTTAGTTTTCCTTTAAAAACTAAAAGAAGAGGTTTGAAGTACTCCGTATGATTTATGAAGTTTGAAGTATGATTTAAAATATGATTTAAAATATCCTTAAATGCATTCTAAATGTACAAAATTACTAATCTTGAGAAGAAATAGTTTTTTCATTAAAACCATTAAAACTCTAACCTTCATAAGGAATTATAGAATATTTTGAACTAATTCAATTCAAGAGAACTTTGCAGGTTGGGATATGTTGTAGAAGACCTAAACCTTGGTACTCTATATATGGTGAAGGAATTAGCTTACTCCCTGGTCCTTAATTAATGGCAATTGATGCACACCCTGCTGCAAAGGAAAAAGGAGAGATTTTTTAAATCTTTGTATTAAATGTTGATGTGACTTTAGTTTGGCGTGTGGCTCCATAAGGGTGTCTTTCGAGACTACTTCATTGATAGGTCTCATAGGCCACATTTTACTTAAAAGCTTTTTTGAATCTATTTATTTAATATGGAAGAGACATAAAGGTATTGATTTTGATTGAAATGACATGTGTGAAAAGCATTTCTAGGGAAAGTAATCATTTTCGTACTTGAAGAAAAGCATTTCAACTCTTCCCAAGAAATGTACTCACAATACCCAAGAAATTTGCCAAATAAAAATGACCAATTTTTGGCCCACAGACAACAGCTCATTACCACGGATCCGGCCCAATTTTGGCCCTTTACTGTAGATGTAATATTGGCGGGAACACTGTTCACAATGCCCTCCTAGCATTGTATATAGTAAGATTGATATGTAAATGCAAATTATAGTGACATGTTTTAAAACATATATTTGGAATTTAAGTTTAATTTGACCCGAATTATAAGTTTGAAAAAAAATGGCATCAATGGCTAAAGTTTTCTATTTCGATCTATTAGAGCAATGTGAATGGCGAGGCAAATGTCTACCATGCCTTGCCACGTAAGCTCCAAACCCAAGTTGTCTTGTGTGCCTTCTCCATTCTACTCAACATTCCATGGGCGAGGCACTTGTCTAAAAATCTTTTTTTTAAATTTTTTTTTTGCACAAAAAAAAAACTTATTCCCTAAGAAAATGTTTTTCTCTAAACAAATATTTAAAACAACTCTTTTTAAATATGAAAAAAAATATCATTTCTAAGTCCTAATATTGCTTTCATGTATCATTCCTACAATTTAAGTTATTACTAGTAATAATGGTATATAGTTGATATAATAATAATAATAAATAATAATAATAGATAATAATAATAACAATAAACATATTTAAAGTTATAATATAAATTAATATTTAGGCGTTTGTAGTTTTAAATAAAGTAATGTGATTTAATCAAATTGTAATTACTCTGTATTATTTAATCCTTGAAAAATACGAAGTATTAATATTATTTTTATTATTTTTTCATGACCTGATCTGATTAGATCTAATCTAATCATATTTTAATAAGAATAAGTCATAAATATAAAAAACAAGTCCTATAGAACGGACCATCAATCAAATACCAAGCGGGTAAAAAACATTTACTATTTTGACTTTCAAAGGATAAACTGTAGAAGTTTGACTAAAGTAAAATGACGATATATAATTAAAACAAGTAGGGTTCGAGAATTATCAAAATGGGTAGGGCAGAAGGTAGTTGAGGTAGGTTCGGTGAGAATAAAAAATCTAAAGTCAATTGAAAAATGTGAAAATTAAGAGCATGAACAATGAGAAGTCATATACTGGAATGCCACACGCTGACATGGCACTGTTTAACCAATCAGAGTTAATCTAGTCACACAGTGGCATGGCATTAGAGTGGTATCTCCTACAGTGGCAAGTCATTATTTTTTACTCACTTTAGATTTTTGGCATATTTTAATCATTTTGTTTACTTTTTCTCAACTCAATATATTTTATTTTTGTTTTTAATAAATATTTATATTTTGTTGTGAAGATTTAAATTGTACGGAGTATACTTTAATTATTCATAATTATTTAGTAAAGTATTTGAATATGAAAAATTAAAAATAGAATATAAATTATGACAACACATTTTAAAAATTTGAAATGAAGTTATATAAATAAAAGTTGGGATAGAAAATATAAAGAACATAATCATAAACAATGTATACAAGGGAGTTCTTATAACAAAAAAACATGCAATTCATGAATAAAATTCTTTAACAAATAAAAGTCACAATAACACAAATGTCTGAACAAAATTGAGATTACAAATGTAGAATTCAAATTAATTGTATCCCCTCTTTCTCATAACCTCTGCAATCCTATCTTCAAAGTATCGACGTCGAATGGGATCTGAGATGATAGATGTATCTATCATCATCAGCCTATCTTCGTCCGCACGAGCACGAGCTTCCTCTGCATACATACGAGCTTGCTCTGCCAAAATGCGTTGCTCTGCCTCCCTCTCCCGAACCGCTGCAATGCGTTGTACTGCATCTGTAAGAGCAACTACATGAGGGGGTGGCATATTGTTCTCTCCTTGTCCATTTCTAAGCCTCTTTGCAGCTTTCCTTCCCATTGGTCGTTGTAGATTACGAGCAATAGAATCAATGTCTGTGATTCTGTTTGTAATCTCTCCCTGGAGCAATAATTCAGTGAAGCTTCTACCATCATTCTCCATTTATACCTACATATTTGCCCAAGTTCGAGAGTGGAGAAAGTGGATTTAAACAGCCTGTAAATTTAGATGCCGCTATTTTTTAGTTCCTTTTCTTTTATAGCTTAAAATAGATGCAAAAAAAAATGACTTTTTTGTATTATAAAATTAATTTTTTTACACAATATGTACAGTACAAACATGACTTTGATTTTTCCTACTTCAATTCTTACACAATTATTTGTCACTAGATGACCTTAAAACACATTTGGAAACCCCAACACATCATGTAAGTTCATTTTGGAAGCCCCACACTTCACCTGCAGAAGCCTAACCACTTTCTTGGTGTTCCTTAACTTGGTTGTAACTAAGAGTACTATAATGTTGTCTTGTTTGACAACCTTAATAAAGTTTCATAGTAGTTTTTCTAGGCATAATTCTCAAAGCAAAATGCACTATTAATAATAAATTGTCTGGTCTTGTTTTTAGTATATTTGTGGTCACTCTGTCTTGTTATGTGCCAATTTTTTCTTCCCAAATATTAACAGCTTTCATTTTAATAAAATCAGTCTCAAACACTCCCTTTGTATTCTTGTATTAATACAAAGTATTCATGTTTTTCTCTCTTTTTTTCCCTAAACGGCCAGATTGTAAACTGCTAGATTGTAACACCAGTTTTTCTCTCTTTTTTCTCTAAACTGCCAAACTTTTAGTTTTTCTCTCTTTTTAGAAACCATCTGTCATATTCTAAATTTGGTGTAAAAATGGATAGGTGTAAAAATTGAAGTAGGAAAAATCAAAGTCTATTTCATCATGTGTATGGCAAATGTGTGCAGAATCATTTGTGTGCAGAGAGTGTATGGCTCACCACTCTAGAGAAATTGCCTATTTCATCATGTGTATGGCAAATGTGTGCAGAATCATATATTTGTGTGCAGAAATGTGTGCAGAATCATTTGTGGAGCACATTGAGAAATCTAACCACTCTAGAGCATTTCATACTCCAGCATCCAATTTGGTTCATCACTTTATTACCCATTTCAATTGAAAGCTAGGTTTCATAATAGCAACAAAATCAGCATCAAACATGCATCTTAGTGTTCTCCAACAATAGTATTTTTTGTCCAAAAACTCAATAACCTACATTTGAACATTTTGTCAAACACCTAGTGTGCACTACCATGAATTCATCTATTTGATTTTTTGATGAATTAAAAACAATTCATTCAACCTAAAAGAGATCAAACATAGAGATGGAATATCGAGCAATCGAAGCTAGAGAAGACTAGCACAGAGAAGAGAACAAACCAATGGCCGAGTGGAGTTACCTGAGGGTTGCAGGTGAAGGATGATGGCCGGAGAAGACTAGCGCGAGAAGAGAACAAACCGATCGATGGCCGAAGAAGACTAGCGGGGAGAAGAGAGACCGATGATTTTTCAAGAGTAATTGTATTTTGCTGCTTTCAAATTTGCCTCGCGATCCTTTTTTTTCCTCGCTCACTGCCGCGCTTCACTCTACACGAATGGCAGGGCGTGGCAAGGTTTCTCCTTGCCGCTGCCAGTGCTCTAAGGTAGTAAAAATGTGTTTTGTGATAAGTAAGATATGAAAATTGAAAAATTGTAGAAGTGAAAATTTTGTACATGCATGACACGTATTAGCGAGTAGTAAAGCTAGATAAGATAAACTACAAGGAAGGAGAATGAAAGTAATTGGAAAACGAAGAGGTTAAAATTTTATTTAATTTCTGGAAGAAATAAATGATGTCAACAATCAAGTAGTACGATGGAGCTGCTGCAGACAAAATAAAATTAAAGAAATGAAGAAATCAAGAAATTAAACGGGCTAGCGAAAAGGAGCGTCGGGGGGGAGAGGACCTCCTCCGACATGATGATGATTATGTTGATGTTGGTGGTGGTGGTGGATGTAATGGCGGTCCATGTAGAGGGCGGCGGCGGCGGCGGCGGATTGGGGGTGGAGGCCGTCGGCCATGACCATGAACTGCATGTCCTCGGAGGGCTTCCAGTGGCGCTTCCTCTGGTTGATGAACCAGTTGTTGATCTGCTTCTGGTCGAGGCCGGTGGCCTCCGCCAGCGCCACCTTCTCGGACTCGGAAGGGTACGGCCACTTGTAGTGGAGCTCCCACCAGCTGAGCAGCTTCTGCCTCGCCTCCTTGGGCAGCTTCCCTTTCTTCTTCTTCTTCGACAGCTCCTGCTTCAGGCTGCTCAGGTATCCGCTGTACTTCCGGAGGAGGTGGTTCTTCAGCTCCCTGTCTTGGGCCCGCGGGTCCATGTCCCGCACCTCCGCCTCTCCGCCGCTGTTGTCTTGGTCCTCCTCCGATGACCCTACCCCCTCGCAGTACTTCTCATCCCCCTCTGCTCAACATTACATTATAGACTAATATTAGAGTCACACACAAAATACTCACAAACTTTTTATTTGTGTATTTAAATTTTTATTTTTTAATTATTTGAAACTACTCTGTATTACTCCCTCCGTCCCCCATTGATCTTCCCAATAGCCCTTTTTCTTTGTCCACAATAGATCTTCTCATTTCATTTTTTAACAATTAAAATATCACAACTACCCCCACTTACTTTATTTATTACACCTCACCCACCTCATTTAATGCACTCCACCCATTTTTCATTAAGGGTATTATGGTAAACTTTCACCTTTTTTCAACTCTTCTTAAAAATCACCAAAAGTCAAAATGAGAACATCTTAGGAGGACGGAGGGAGTATTTAATCTCTCCGTCCCTAAATATTTGTCATAATTCTATTACTGAGGTAAAATATCAAGTTTTTTCAATTCATTTTATTTACATATTGATATAGAAATAAAAAATAAAATTTATTTATAAAAAAACTAAATGAAAATTTCTTCGAAATAAGAGGTTTCAAGAATACTTTATTTTATCAAATAACCAATGAAAACGTAGAAATAAACAAAAGTTCTCACAACTGTTGAAAGAACAAGTGTGACAAATATTTTGGGATGGAGAGAGTACATCTTAGGTAAGTTTGTGCAATTTGTAAATGTTTTGTTTGTGATTTTAGCATTACTCAACGTTATATTCATTATATTATTTGATGCATCACCTCCATCATAATGGGCAGGAAATCAAAAGTTAAATGGGCCTTAAACAAAAGCATATTTTAATATCCTTCTATTTACAAGAGCAGCACGAAAAATTTCCGGCTCAGTTGTAGGAGACCAATACGACGTCGGCTGTGGAAATATTATTGCGTATTAGAAAAACTGCAGCCCAAGTCCCAACCACCCACTAAAGCACATCGTGGAATAATCAATCTGATACTGTGTAGCGTTTCAAATAGCGATGGACAGATTGAGTACTCAATCGATCGGAATGAAGTAAAGAAGACCGAGAGAAGTGAGCAACTTGAGAAAGAAGGAGAAAGTGGAGGGTGTCGTTGCAGGAGTACTATTCATCATCTTCCTCGAGTTTGACCCAACGGCTGTAGACTATAGTACATCCGAATTTCATCAATTTCTTATATTTTTTCATAATTAAGGTATCAATCCATTTACTCTTATATATCTTCATATCAATTTTATGTTAATTTCATCAATTAATCAATCTATAAGTGTTCTTCAAGGTCCCAGGTAGGTCACATCCCTTTTCAGTTTGCAAATTTACAGAGGCAAAGAGGAGTCACTACATGTTAGATGAAATGTCTCTATGAGTCCTGTGAATGAAACTTCAATTCTTCATGTTACTATGGCATTTCTATGGGTTTCTAATACACCCAAGGGACCCTGCCACCCTCATCATTATGCCACTACTCATTATCTACTCTTCTTTTATATATCATTCATTTAAAAAAATTTCTTATATATGGGAGAATCAAGAGGCCATTTGTTAAAGTTATGTAATGATGATCTTCTATTAGTTAGAGAGGAGCGGCGAGAGTGGGAAAGAGAAGTCATCTTCTTCTATCTTTCATAAGGACGTGCACAAGCATCAAAATCTTCAACGGTTAGAATTAAAATCTCACTCTTTACCCTAGGATTTGTGTATCTCCGCTGTAATTTAGTGTTTTGGTGATGAATTTGTACAACCCAAAACAATATTAGTTTGATTTTTTGTTTAATGTTATATCCTAAGTGAAACCCAAGTTTATTTATAACAAAATCTAATGGCCAAAAGTTGATTTTTCCATCATATATCTTCATTAGTTATAAGCTATTGTTCATGTTTGAATTTTAGTATCAGTTTGTAATTTCTAGGTTATATTATGAGCACTTTTCTCACTTATTGTTGCTTTTATATTACTCCATACTGCATTTTACTTCAAACTCCAGTTTCCCCACATGTGTGGAAGTGTAGAACACTGTTCTCAAACAATCTTGAAGGCTTCTTTGACTATTTGAACTATATATTTCCATATCATTTGCTAAATAATAATTTTCTCCATATCCTTTCATCATAGAAATATGTAAGAACATGAAAAGAAATCAAGCCGGGAGATATAATTTTCATTTTGTGCATTTGTTTATTAAGTTGTGGAATAGGGAATTTGGATTCTATTATTGAGCTACTGCTTTTATTAATCCTGTAGATGTTAAAGAAGCTATTAGTATTGATATATCACAAAGCCATATAATGCTTTTAAGATCTTACACCATCCTATGCAACGAAGATGTGAAGCTGGACTGCTAAGTGAAGGATCAAGAGGTAGGTCACAAACATTTTGTTTGATATCTAATGGTGACTTATCCTTTAATTCCTATAATGTTTTATTGTTAAGAGTTTGCATAAATCCTTTCATATATGTCTACAGTATCTTTCTCAGCATATGTTTAGCAACGTTAGGTTGCTCAAATCATAAGAGGGAATGAACAAATGAAAAAATGTTTAGCCTCTACACTAATAATATGAATTGCATGTATTTAGTATCTGTCTCGAGCTCCACAGCCTCCACTCCATTGTTTTCCCTCATTTCATATTAGTTTTTATTCTCTTAAATCAATTTTTTTCATTAAATGCACGGGTTGTTCTGTTCAATGCTTTGCTCAAATCTAAAATTGGATTCACATCACTTTAAAGATGTTCTTGACAAAGTAATAGCAACAGGTGAGATATTGTTTTTTTCACGAGATGAAGTTTTTGAGCAAAAAATTGATTTAGGTCATGCAATGAATCTCTAAAAAGACTAAACTCTACTGATTTTCTATTGATTTTTTTCCCATGTAGTTAGTGATAACTAAATTAATTGACTACTAATTTCATTACACCCACGTCAATAATTGATGTTTCATGTAGCCTTGCACAAAGCTAAGGCACAACTAATATAGCCATGTCATTAATTGTGTGTCTTGCATCATCATGAGTTCATTTTTTTAGCCTAACCATAAGGTGTATATTATAAGTATCAACAGTTGTAATATTGGAAGGAATATAGTCCTAGAATTTATAAAATTTCAAGTTTACTTTTAGAATTTGTTTTCCATATTTGCTAATGTGCTACTTCTTCCTTTATTTAGGTAATGTATAGGAATGTTTTAGTGCATGGATACTATGTAGTTTTTATAAACATAGCCTTGCTGCCATGGAGCTAAAGAGACAAGCTTGGATTTGCCACATAGACTACAACCTAACACTTGGTTTTTCGCCATAAAGAACCCAAAATAGCTACTGATGATTATAATTGAAGTACATCATGCTTACTTGGTATGAGTTACATTGCCAATTATCAGTTAACTACTTTGATTTAAACAGTTATAAGGTTTTTATGTTTCGATTCTGAATTCTTTAGTGGTTTGAGATAGATAACCATAAACTTTAAATTTTGTCTTCTGATTTTAAATTTGTCGAAAATAAAAGTTGAAATTTGAAATTAAATTTGATCTGAAAATTATTGTTTCGCTGATATTTTCACTTTCCGTAGTGATTCCCTAAATATTGGATCTATATAGCAACTAAAAGTATTGATGAAATTAATTTTGGTAATAATTTTCTAGGGTTGTGTAATTTTACCTGCTTCGAGATGGGCGTGTTGATGCTTAGCAGTTTAAATGTGCACAAGGGTCTAAGCATTTTGCATTTATCAGTTCTTTTGTTTTAATCTGCATCAACGTCTAAGGCTAATGATTATTCATCTTCAGTGTTGGGTTAGTTTCATTTAAAGTAACTGAAGAAACCATTTTGGCTATTAGTATAAGGCTTATCCTAATAGATTTTGAGTCTTGGTATTTCTTTTGGAGGAAAGACAACATTAGGGGGGAGCTTTGGCTCTTTGTTACTAAAGATTGGTGACATCTCTACAAGTATATACTCCCTCCGTCCCGTAAAACCTTTCCCCTTTCTTTTTTTATCCGTCCCACAAAATACTTCTCATTTCTATTAAAAAGTCACTTTTACTCCTTACTTTTTCATACCCTAACTATCACATCATACCTTTTTACTAATAATATATCCATCAAATCATACTTTTACCCATCACATCAAAGGACATTTTTGAAAATTCAATACCAAAATACACTCCCTTAAATCCCTCCTAAAAAGCAAATGTCCCATGTTTCACGGTACGG